ATAGCTTCTTTGCTTTCAGACTTGGGTACGAACTTGCCCCACTTCCTGACTTCTTGCTTGTCATTCACTTTGCGAGGTTCATAGATGGGTGGCCTTTCTTTTCCAGCGGAAGCCATGCTCAATTCCATGTCATGGGCACGAGTTACAAGTTCTTCAAATGTGCTAGGCTTGATACCTTTCAAGATGTAGAGCAATCCCCAATGCATGCCTTGGATGCACATCTCTATGCCTGAAGCTTCACTAAGCTTGTCTTTGCAGTTGAGGCTTGCATTCCTCCAACGATTGATAAAGTCGATAACTGGTTCCCCCTTTCATTAACGAGTATTTGTGAGCTCTATCATACTTACCNCGAGCTCTTTCTTGCTTCTTGTTATAACTTCTGGTGTCTTTTCTGAGTTATGAAAACCCCTATTTATAGTTGTGGAAAGAAGGAGTTGTGATAAGAACAAACTCTTTCCGACCAATCAAATTGAAATGCGACATGACCGCATTTGATTGGCCAGAACATGTCACTTGCACACGTGGCGTGATTTCATTGGTCTTTTAGTGTGACTGGACATGCTTTGTCATTTTGACACATGACACGATCATATTGGCTCTTTTGTTTGACTTGGCGTGCCACGTCATGGCATTGGGCCTCTAGGAAGATGACTTCTTGGGCCTAATGATATGGGCTCATCATTTGTAGCCCAATTAAATGGGCCAGCCCAGTCAATATTTATTGGACTTAAATAATTAATTTAATTATATTAGCCCATAATATTTATTTGGACTAGTATATTTAAAATATAGTCTAAATTTTCCCTTTGAATTAAATTTGCATGCCTACACATATTATATTGATAAAATGACAAAATGATCCCTTATGTTTGGGATAGGGTCAAATTGATCCCTAAAATATACTTTTATAACTTTGATCATCTAAGGTTGTTAAAAGTGAGCACTTTTAGACTCTGTTAAATAATTAATAAACTTTGACGGTCAGATTTTATGTAAAATTTTGAAAAAACATTAATCCAAAATACAAAAAATTCTATTAAATCTAAAAATTATAATACTAAAAGATTACATTTGACATAAAAATAAATAAATAAAATTGTAGAAATTACACCTAAAAGCTGAATTAGGCTCTAGAAAATACCACATATAGCTGAAACTAGAAAAAAATGTACCTCCAAATGTGAATTCATGTAAAAAAAAAACGATTTCGAAAAGTTTAATAACCAAAAGTGTTTAATTTTAGAAAATTTAAAGGATCAAAATTATTTAAGATATATTTAAGGGACCATTTTGAACCTAACTCCCAAATATAAAGAGCCATTTTTATCATTATTCAATATTAATCAATTGCGTGGCTTTCCTGTAGGTGAAACGGCGAGATTTCCGTCGTAATAGTGCACACGTTTGGTTACGGCTGGCAAATCCAGCTACTCTGTTCAATTTCTTCTCCGAGTTGACAATTCCGACCGTCGGCAGACGCCTATGAAGCTTCAAACTTGAAATACTGATAAATTACTCTTTACATTCATTTTCAATAATGTCTGCAGTAAGATATTTACAGCCATTTGGGACTTCTCTGGCCTCTCCTTACTTCCATCTCTCTCGTTCCACAATCCCATGTAAGGTCCTATTCTCTTAAACGCCTGCGCTACTTTTACATGAAAATTAATTATTACTCCCTCTGTCCTAATTTATTCAATGGTGTTTGATTGAACAAAGTTTTAAAAAAAAAATTACTTTTAAAATTTGCGGTCTCAAACGAGTCATAGATATTTATGTGGCTATAAATCATCTCATTAAGAAGTTTAAAGTTAATCTAAAAATATTTAAAAAAAATGTGTCATTTTTTTTGTGATAGACTAAAAAGAAAAATATAGCATAAATTGGGATAGAGGGAGTAAAACTTATGGAACATACCAATATTGCATTCAGTTCCAACGGAAAGTACAGTAGCTAAGTATTTGGTATCGGACCCACATCCCAATTTATGTGAGGTGTTTGACCGGATATAGCGGTTAAGAAAGAAAATCTGTTGAAACTTGTAGTTTAAAATAAGCAATAGACATTTATGCAGCTAAATCATCTCATTAGCTAAATGGAAAGTTTAAAGTTCAATTGTTTCTAAATAAAAAAAAAAGATGTCATTCTAGACTAAAATTCTACCACATAAAATGGGGTAGAGGGAGTATTATTAAAATCACTGTCATCCTGCTATTTGTAGTTTGATGAATCATTCTTTTTTCTCTTTTATAGGTGTAGCAAATTCAGATACCTGTTTCTTTTTCTTCATAATTTGTTGCAGTTGATGGAAAATTTGCACCTTTGAAGACCTTCATGAGATGCCTAAAGCCTCAGGTGTACAGTCGGGTGTCAAAGTCCGCTGGGGGATCTAATTTTGAGACATTCCACCATTACTTTAGAAAAGTGCAAAATTCAGGTAAGTTTTGGAGTATAGTCTCTGTATGTGTACCTTGTTAGAGTTTTGATGTTTTTGTTTATGAAGCTTATTAGGGAGTCGGAGCTGCCCCCAAGTGGTGTTTTTGTATGGCGTTGTAATACGTTTGTTTGGTCCAAGAAGGAGAGGAGAGAGCAGCTTACAGTTTCATAACTTTAAAGAAAGACTTCTCTTTTAGGATCACTTCCGTCCCTAAGATGTAGTATTCAATGCATAGGTAGATTGGTATAGTATAAAGGAAAATAGAAGAGAAATGGAATACTGTTTTTTCCATGGTACTTTGAAATGTAATGGAAACGTTAACTTGTAGGATATCTACCTTTCCACTTTTACTTTCCATTCTCCTTCTGTTCTAGCCAAATATATTGTAAGATTAAGTTAAGCAGACTCAACTTAGAACTAGTGGTATGTGTCATGGTTCTTTCCTAGTTTATCAGCTGGAAAATACTGGAAATGCTTATCTTCATCTATCGCGGAAGATCTGTGTCTTTATCTGCACATGTTAATTTCCTTTTTTTTTCAAATGCAAAAGTTGAATTGGTATATTATGTAAATCAAGTGTTTACTAATGTTTAGTCGCTAATTAAAATGTGTTGTTTTAGTTGCATCCATCCTATTTATAAAAGGTTTAGTTGGTTTTGAATTGAGGGTATAACTTAATGAGCTTATCTTTATCTTTTGCATCTTTGAGTACGTTGCGATGGATAGTTATCGAGTATAATTCCCCTTTTTTCTTATTAAGTTGTGCAACAAAAAGATATAAAATATCGCTGGTACTTTTTGTTCTATATTTTAGTTAGCCTTTACGACCACTTGTGATTCCTGATTTGTATTGAAGATCTTTGTTTCATTGTTGGTATACTTGTAGGGCGCAGTTACACTTTATGGAGTGCATTTGGTTTATCGGCTTTGCTTGGATCTATTAAGCTTTCTCCTCGCATTGCATATTCTTCTGATGGTGAGAAGTTTATGGTTATGATAATTTGAATTAAACATTCTATATGTGTACCAGCGCTCTTTTCTAAATGCAGCATGTTATTCTTGCCTTGGAAAGTGTGGTCTAATTAATTTTATGTGAATATTTGCTCTTTTCTAATCACATTCTAGGTCTTGATGGTCTATTGGATGAACATCATTTGGGCTTGTTCGGTGATTCAGATACTGAAGAAGGTCGTCGATCTCTCTTAATGACTTTAAGGAAGCTGTTGGTTCCTCTCTTGTTTGTGATTACTGTGTTGATGAACTGGGGTCATCCAATAATTATTGCAGCTAAAGTCACTATTATTCTTCTTACGACAAAGCCAAGCCCTTTATCAGTTTATGTCCTTGTCGAACAGGTAAAGGACCATTCTTTCTATACATTCTGTCCAAGTCCCTCATCTGCGCTAGAGCAGGGGCAGAATAGCTGGATTCATCGTCATTTTCTGGTGGATTAATTAACATGTTTCCTTTTATATATCTTCTCTGTCTATTCCATAGAAATTGTGAATGGAGTTTGTATTTTAGCGTGCATATAGCATCATCTCAATCAAGAGGTAGATATCTGACATGTTTTGCTCACACTTGATGTGAAATATTTCAGTTGCGACATCAAGCAGTTCGCCAACAACCATTCATCTATAAGTTCAAGGTTAGTTTCATGATCTAGCTCCTCGGTGTAGTATGAGGATGGATGCTGCTGGCATTTTAATTCAAGTTCAAGTAGTCAAAATAGCCAAATTAATTGCACTCATGCAGTTGATACTATAGCACATCGTGAAATAGGATGTGGCACCTTTCAATTAGAAAACATATGCTCATTGTTTTAATGTGACTTACTGACAGAGGCGGATTTAGGGGGACGGAAGGGTGTTCACCCGAACCCCCTTCGCTGAAAAATTACACTGTGTATATAAGGCAAAATCTGTTTTTTACCTCTATACATTATGTTTTGAATTCCCTCGACATAACCCAAAAGCATAGCTTAGTGGTCAAGGGAGTTCAAAACCTTTGTAAGGTCATTGGTTATATTCCCATTAGCTACAACCTTTTTAACTTTTTCTTTTTTTGAACCCCTTAGCGGAAATCTTGCTTCGGCACTACTTACTGATACTTGTAGCTGTCCTCTTAAACTTTTTCCTGCAGTCATTATATGCAAAGAAAGTTGAAGTTGCAGATTATCTGTTTCTCTCTGTGGCTAAGGTCGAACTAAAAGATCAGGAGTTTACTCTTGTTGGAATTCTGGGGAGTTGGTGGCTTTTGCCCCTATCTTCATGGCAAGAGGCGTCGTCTCTGCTTAAGAGCAAAATTTTGAAGAATTTAAGCTAAGGTCAGCTGCTAATTAGATCAGATTGAGTTAAATTTATCTTTGTTGTAGGTAATTATATTTTCTCTGTAGATTCGATAGAAAACATGGAAGGCAATCTATGTTCATACTTGGAGTGCACCAGAATTAGATGATTTGTTCGTGATTTTTGCTTTTGAATTATACTTCACTTGTATCTTCAGAACTAGTTCATTTGGGTCCAAAAAGAGCTATAACCAATTGATAATGATTGTAGAACATCCCTCTAATAGAAGGTAGTCTTATTATCTTCAATATTAATAGAAGGAGATATTTTTCTTTGGCTCCATTTATCTTTCCTGAGCCGAGGGTCTACCGGAAACAACCTCTCTGCTAAAGGTAGGGGTAAGGACTGCTACTCTACCCTCTCCAGACCCCACTAGTGGGACTACACTGGGTATGTTGTTGTATATTTTTCTTTGAGTGAACTGGAGTGAACATGTCGATCCTTCTTTTTAGTCTTCTACTTCTTTATTGTTGGATTTGCTTCCTAACTCAAATTCAGGGGAAAATTCAAGTGGTTTTGACTTAAGAAATAGAGATAAAACCTTTCACTGCATAGACATCCTCCTTCAAGACCATGATGTTGGCCTTTTCTTAAAATGTGTTCCATAGTCTCTGTCCATGTTGATTTCACTTACTTATCCCTTTCTTTTAAATTGCTATCTCTTATCCGTTTAAATAAAATATATGGCAAAGCCTCTAAACAAAAATAAACATTTTGTCTTTACGTATGAAATATATGTGTATGTGTGTATTCCTTTCACAATTTTACTCAAATGTATGTATGTCTGGGCACACGTACGTATTGATGCATGTATGCATTTTGATACACAAATATTCTTAAAGTTAAAAGATGGAAACCATTCCACCTTTATTGTGTAGCCAAATAGAAAATATTCGCATGAGTGTCGTTTTTTTTTTGGCTCTACTTAAACGGAAAGATGTTTTGACATGGCATAAATTTTCATGCAGATTTCTATTATTTCTGGATTCATCTATATGTGTTCTAACGGAAAGCCAAAATCTGTGGGAGTAATCGAGCTTATATTACTCCAATTGATGGAGCAATAAGCTAGCTCTTTAATTTCCCCTGAACTGAGCTCAACGATCGGTTTATATCTTTCTAGACATGTGACGGTGACGCCTTCAAAATTTTCAAACATGTGCCTTACCTCAGCCTTTGGCGTAAATTGGTTCTTCTATTGTCATTTCGTTGTTTTGGGTAAATAGAGGAGGAGAGTTTGGCTATCTGAAGTGTTAGCTCTGCTTACTGTGCACGGAGTTGTTATTAGAAGCTTTGACTTCGTCGCTTAAAGCAATGAATCGATCCAAAACGAGAGTTTATTACTTCATTGGTGAAGCGATTAAATTGGACTAATATTGTTTTTGGGAGGCTGATGTTAGTTATGTTTATTGCAATTTACTAAATTCTTATATATTTGCTACTTTCTAATGTTCATAAATTGTACACTTCCCTTCTTACTTTTCGCAATATGTCTCATGGAACTATATGCAAATCTCAATATGAAACTTAAACATTGAATTGTTTCGTTGAATTGTTTCGTTTACTTTTAAGCAGTGTTGATAAAACAATATCTCAATCTAATTCAAAAAGTACAGACGAGTTAAATAAGTTTTGACTTGCAAAAATAAAAGAACAAAGAGATTGGGGTATTTATAAAACAAAGTGATATCTATGATATTCAAATTGAATGAAATTATGTTTTCAGATAAGGATCACAAATATGTCTAGGTTAACTTAAGAAAAAAAAATTATAACAATTTTCGATGAAAATAAATTATTCTGTACATCGATTAAATTTGATTTTTCTTATTCAAAGAAGATACATATTAATTTCTTAAGTCATTTTGAAGCGATATTTCTCACCCCTAGACCCTAGTCCTCCTAATTCGCTCAAAAACAAAACGTCCGGTCTAAAAAGGAAAGAAAGAAAAAACAAATCCATGCTGACGTGTCATAAAACCCGTTCATTTCGGGGTGGCAAGATACATCAGCACTACCAGAAAATTCCGAAGTGCAACTCACTAGTAAATACGAGCAATTGCGATATGCTAATCTCTCAAGTGATTCTTTAACTCTCATGCGGACCAGATTAAATAGTGTGTGACACGTCGCACGAAATCTTTCCCCTAACAGTAGCTTCTAGAAAGGAGAATACTACCCAGTTTTGATACCTCTTCCAATTCCGTCTGCTCAATTCTCGCTGGTTTTTGTCCGTCACCGATTCACCGGAGGTATGTTTCTTTCTGAATCCTTTTTTTTTCTTCTCTTTGCATGGTTTTCTCTTTAATACTTGTATTTTCTACAGTTTGTTTTGATGTTTTGCTGCGTTGAAGTCGTTGCCTTTTTATTTGGGTCTGGATATGTTTGTCTACAATATATGCGAGAAAGGAAGCAATAGAAATTGGTCTGCGATAAAGTCGATGATTTATTTGGATTAAAAAAAAAAAAAATTGGAAGTGAATACGGAATAAGCGATTCACTTCGATTTTAATAGAATTCGTCGTGGGTCCTATACTATGTAATAAACTTGTAAACTAAAAAGGGAAATTAAGGCAGAAATGAGGATTTTTATTAATTCTAACCAAATTACAAGCAATCTCGTAACAGAATGATTAACAGTAAACCAAATGGTTCCTAAGCTCCATGATAATCCGCCATTAAACCTGAGAATGAGAGAATTGGTTAGAGATGAAGTTGAAGAGGAAGAAGGTAGAAGGAAGGAAAGAATTGAGGGGGAGTATCAGATTACCGGTCATAACTGCCTTAGATTGTTAGGCCCAAGTTAGTTATAAGCTCATACTGGCCCAAACCGACCTTGGGTTGATATTGAATCTCCACCCTTCATTTAATCTTTTATTCCAGCCATCCGATCAACATGTGCAGCTCACGTGCTTTATTACTAAACCCTATTCTTCCATTTTACTTTCCTAATTCATTCTTCTTCTTATGCGACATATTACAATAACCCTCCGATGAAAAAATGACCTTGTCCTCAAAGTCAGAGGTTGGCCACAAAATCTGGAAATCTACTTCTGATGTAGCCCCAATCTTCCCAAGTTGCCTCCTCTTCACTCAAGTTAGCCCATTGAACTAGCACCTTGACTCCCACCCCATTGTTTACTTTTACCATTTTCCTTCGCAAAATGGCCACTGGTTGGACCAAGACACCACCATCTGCATCACAAATCGGTGTTTGCTGATATGGATTGATGTTTGGACCTACTCTCTTCTTCAGCTGGGAAATGTGAAACACCGGATGGATCTGAGAACCTGGAGGAAGCTCCAGCCGCTAAGCCACTGAACCTATTCTTTGTAGAACTTTATAGGGGCCATAGAATCTAGCACTTAGTTTAAGATTCTTTCGAACAACAACTGAAGCTTGCCGATATGGTTGAAGCTTCAGATAAACCCAGTCCCCTACACTTAGAACTCTATCAGATCTGTTTCTGTCCGCATAAAACTTCATTCTTGCTTGTGCTTGTGTGAGGTTATCATTTAAATGTTGTAACATTTGTTGCCTCTAGGCTATGCATGCACCCACTTGGGACTGTGCTGGTTGGGGAAGGGATCCCAAAGGGATCTGTGGTGGTGCAAACCCATACAAGGCTTGGAAACGGGTGGTTTTTAATGAACTGTGGTGGTTAGTGTTGTACCACCACTCAACCAAGGGTAACCATTGAACCCATTGTTTAGGTTTGGAAAACACCATAGCTCTTAGATATGACTCCAAGCATCTGTTTAATCTTTCTGTCTGGCCATCTGTTTGGGGGTGGTAAGAGGTGGACATATGTAACTTGACCCCCATAGATTTGAAAAGCCTTTGCCAAAATTGGCTAGTAAATACACTATCTCTGTCAGAAACAATAGTGTTAGGTAACCCATGCCGTCAGTAGATTTCTGTCAAGAACAAATCAGCCACATCTTGTGCTGTGAAGGGGTGTTTGAGAGCTAAGAAATGGTCATACTTGGTCAGCCTGTCAACCACTACTAGTATGGCATTTCTATGGCCTGAAGATGGCAACCCTTCCACAAAATCCATAGCTATATCTTGCCATGGTAACTCAGGAATAGGTAGAGGCTGTAGTAAGCCAGGTGTATGTATATTCTAAGTCTTCACCCTTTGACAAATATCACATTCTGAAACCCATTTATAAGCATCCTTCATGTTAGGCCAGTAGAAAACTATGCTCATCCTCTTGTAAGTCCCTTGCTGTCCAGCTGCTCCTATTTACTCTACGCGAACGCGGGAAACTCATCGCGAATGCGATGAACACTGAACCTAACCCTTCGCAAACACAGGACCCACATCGCGAACGCGAAGGCCAAACTTCCTGCCTCACACCACATCCCTTCGCGAACGCAAGAGCCCACTCACGAACGCGAAGGCCAAATGTGTGCAACACCAATAGCAGATTTTCTGCAACTTCCCACAACAAGATTTGATCCGTTCAACCACCCGAAACTCACCCGAGACCCTCGGGACCTCAACCAAACTTGTCAACATATCCCATAACATCATTCAAACTTGTTCCAACCTTCGGACCACTCAAAACAACATCAAAACACCAAATCATCATCGGATTCAAGCCTAAGAATTTCAAAAACTTCCAAATTCTGCTTTCGATCAAAAAGTCTATCAAACCTCGTCCGAATGACCTGAAATTTTGCACACGTCACAAATGATACAACGGACCTACTCCAATTTCTGAAATTCCATTCCGACCCCTATATCAAAATCTCCCCTATCAACCGGAAAATGCCAAAATTTCAATTTTGCCAATTCGAGCCTAAATCTACTCCGGACCTCCAAAACACATTCCGATTATGCTCCTAAATCCCAAATCACCTCCCGGAGCTATCTGAACCATCGGAATTCACATCCGAGCTCTTTTTCACATAAGTCAACATCCGATTGACTTTTTCAACCTAAGCTTACTCAGAAGAGACTAAGTGTCATTCCTTTCCAAAACCTCTCTGAATCCGAACCAACCAACCCGATATCACATAATACAGCTAAACAAGACAATAAGAAGCAGAAATGGGAAAAATAGAGCGGTAACTCATGAAACGACTGATCAGGTCGTTACATCCTCCCCCTCTTAAACAAACGTTCGTCCTCAAACGGGTCAAAAAACATACCTGAAGTCTCAAATAGGTGAGGACATCTGCTTCGCATCTCCCGCTCAGTCTCCTAGGTAGCCTCCTCCACGGGCCGACCTCTCCGCTGCACTTTCACTGAAGCTATATCCTTTGACCTCAACTTTCGAACCTGACGCTCCAAAATAGCTACTGGCTCCACATCATAAGTCAAATCATCATCTAACTAAATTGTGCTAAAATCCAAAACATGAGACGGATTGCCAATATACTTCCGGAGCATAGAAACATTAAATATTGGAGTCATCTGAATACTCGACTGATAATTGTTGTTATAAGCAAACTCTGCGAGCGGTAGAAACTGATCCCATGACCCTCCAAAATCAATGGCACAAGCGCGCAACATGTCCTCCAATATCTGAATAGTGTGCTCGGACTGCCCGTCTGTCTAAGGGTGAAAAGATGTGATCAACTCAACCTGAGTACCCAACTCTCGCTGTACAGACCTCCAAAACTGTGAAGTAAACTGAGTACCCCGATCTGAAATGATGGAAACTAGGACACCATGCAAACGAACAATCTCCCGGATATATATATCTCTACCAACCGCTCTGAAGAGTAGGTAGTACACACAAGAATGAAGTGCTCGAACTTGGTCAGCCGATCCACAATCACCCAAATAGCATCGAACTTCTCCAAAGTCCGTGGGAGCCCAACTACAAAGTCCATGGTGATCCGCTCCCACTTCCACTCTGGAATATCCATCTGCTGAAGCAAGTCACCCGATCTTTGATGCTCATATTTCACCTGCTGATAATTGAGACACCGAGCTACAAATCCTACAATGTCATTCTTCATTCTCCTCCACCAATAATGCTGTCTCAGATCCTGATACATCTCTGCGGCACCCGGATGAATAGAATATCGTGAGCTATGAGCCTCCTCTAGAATCAACTCCCGAAGCCCATCTACATTGGGCACGCATATCCGGCCCTGGATCATCAATACCCCATCATTACCAATAGTCACATCTCTGGCATCGTCGTGCTGAACTCTATCCTTAAGGACAAGCAAATAAGGATCATCATACTGGCGCTCTGATGCGATCAAATAAGGAAGACCGAGAAATCACACAAGCTAATACCTGACTGGGCTCCGAAATATCTAACCTCACGAACCGATTGGCCAAGGCCTGGACATCAACTGCAAGAGGTCTCTCCCCAACAGGAATATACGCCGAATTGCCCATACTCACCGCCTTCCTACTGAAGGCATTGGCCACCACATTGGCCTTCCCCGGATGGTACAAAATAGTGATATCATAGTCCTTTAGCAGCTCCAACCATCTCCGCTACCACAAATTGAGGTCCTTCTACTTGAACAAGTGCTAGAGGCTACGATGATTAGTAAACACCTCACAAGACACACCATACAAATAATGTCTCCAGATCTCCAACGCGTGGACAATGACAGCCAACTCCAAATCATGAACATGGTAGTTCTTCTCATGGGGCTTCAACTGACGAGAAGCATAAGCAATAACTCTACCCTCCTACATCAACACACACCCAATACCAACTCTCGAAGCATCACAATACACGGTATATGAACTTGAAGCTGATGGCAAAACTAACACTAGATGTGGTCAAGGCAGTCTTGAGCTTCTGAAAGCTCTCCTCACACTCTTCCGACCATCTGAATGGAGCACCTTTTTGAGTCAACTTGGTCAAGGGTGATGCTATAGATAAAATCCATGCACAAACCTACGGTAAAAACCCACCAAACCAAGAAAGCTGCAAATCTCCGTGGCTGAGGACGATCTGGGCCAACTTTGAACCGCCTCTATCTTCTTCGGATCAACCTGAATACCCTCACTGGACACCACGTGCACCAAGAATGCCACTGAACTGAGCCAAAACTCACACGTGGAGAACTTTGCATAAAGCTTCTTCTCCCTCAATCTCTGCAACACAACTCTCAAATGTTTCGCGTGCTCCTCCTAACTATGCGAGTACACCAGAATATCATCAATGAAAACTATGACAAACGAGTCGAGATAAGGACGAAACACGCTGTTCATCAAATGCATGAATGTTGCTGGGGCATTGGTCAGCCCAAAAGACATCACCAGGAACTCATAATGACCATATATTGGGTCTTGAAAGTTGTCTTAAGAATATCTGAGTCCTTGATCTTTAGCTGGTGATACCCTGAACGAAGATCAATCTTGGAGAACACTCTCGCTCCCTGAAGCTGGTCAAACAAATCATCGATACGAGGCAAATGATACTTGTTCTTGATTGTTACTTTGTTCAACTATCTGTAATCAATGCACATCCTCATCGTGCCATCCTTATTCTTCACAAATAGAACAGGCGCACCTCAAGGCGACACACTAGGCAAATAAACCCCTTATCAAGGAGTTCCTGAAGCTGCTCCTTCAACTCCGCTGGTGCCATACAATACGGTGGAATAGAAATGGGCTGAGTGCCCAGCACCAGATCAATACCAAAATTAATATCCCTGTCCGGTGGCATGCCCGGCAAGTCTGCAGGAAACACATCGGAAAAATCCCTCACAACAAGAACAGAATCAATACTAGGAGTCTCTACACCGACATCCCTCAATAAGGCTAAGTATGAAAGACAACCCTTCCCAACCATCCGCTGGGCCTTCAAGAATGAAATCACCCTACTGGGGACAAAATCAGTCGAACCTTGCCACTCAATCCGTGGCACACCCGGCATAGCCAACGTCACTGTCTTAGCATGACAGTCCAAAATAGCACAACACGGAGATAGCCAATCCATGCCCAATATCACATTAAAGTCCACCATACAAAGCAATAACAGGTCCACTCGGGTCTTCATACCCCCAATAGTCACCACACACGACCGGTACACACGGTCCACAACAATAGTATCGCCCACCGGAGTAGATACACGAACATATGAAACAAGAGACCCACGAGGTGTATCTAAATAACGAGCAAAATATGATGGCACATATGAAAAAGTGGAACCGGGATCAAATAACACAGAGGCATCTCTGTGGCAGACTAAGACAATACCTGTAATCACAGCATCTGAAGCAATAGCATCGGGTTTAGCTGGGAGTGCATAGAAACGGGCTTGACCACCACCTGATCGACCTCCCCCTCTGGGGTGACCCCTAGCTGACTGACCTCCACCCCTAGCTGGCTAGGTGGGTGGTGGTGAAGTAATTGGCGCTGAAGCCGATGGCTGACTCCTCTGCTGAGACGAACCCCCAAGATGACGAGGACACCACCTCCATATGTGACCCAACTCTCCACACTCATAACAACTCCCTGGTGTTAGAGACGGGGACTAAAGGGAACCCCTAGCACCGAAATGACTAGCAGATGCACCTGGCATAGAGGAGCTCTGAACTGATGGAGCACGGGACGAACTCTAGGTTGGAAGGGCACTGAGTGCTGAATGGCCCTGATGAGAACTATGAGAACCATGACCCAATGATGCCCCCCGATAACCTGGGCGAGCTGACTGAGCATGCCTGAATGGATGGCCTTTGTCGTACTGAAACTGACCCCTCGAAGGAGCACCACCAAAACTACCAGATCCCCGAGGCCTTTTGGCCTCCCTCTCATCTCGCTCCTAGCGACGAACTGACTCAATCTCGCGAGCAATGTCAATAACCTCCTCAAAAGTAGCACCAGACACCCTCTCCTTGGTCATGAGAATCTGAACACGTGAGGCCATCAACGAACCTCATAATGCTCTCTCTATCCGTAGGAACCAACCAAACAGCATGACGAGCTAACTTTGAGAACCTCATCTCATATTGCGTCACAGTCATATCTCCCTGATGCAACTGCACGAACTGCCTGCGCAGCTCCTCTCTGCGAGACTGTGGCACATACTTCTCCAAAAAGAGAACGGAGAACTGCTGCCAGGTAAGGGGCGCTGCACCAACAGGCCTACGCCTCTCATAAGCCCCCACCAAGTGAAGGTAGCTCCAGAAAACTGAAAAGTAGTAAATGCTACCCCGCTGGTCTCCCGAATACCCAATGTACGAAGAATCCTCTAACACTTGTCCAAAAAACCCTGGGCATCCTCGCCCTCTATACCACTGAAAGTCGGAGGCTGAAGTCTACCAAACCTCTCCAATCTGTTGTGCTCGTCCTCTGGCATAACAAGAGCTACATAGTCCTGAGCAGCTACAACCGGCTGGGCTAGAGGTGCCCCCGGTGTTTGAAGTCCCTGCATGACCTGTTCAGGTGTGCGAGCGGCGGGAGTCTGAGTGCCTCCCCAGCCTGAGAAGTAGTTGCGGTTGTAGTAACTAAGACCACCTGAGCTAGGCCAGTGCATACTGGTAGAATTTGGGCCAGAGCCTCCTAAAGGCTTGGAATCACAATAGGCACAGCTGGTGCCTGAACTGGTGTTACTGGAGTGTCTACAACTGGGACCTGATCATGAATTGGGGTGGCTGGTGGATCTGCAGGTGCTGCCCTAGTTGTTTTGCAGGCTACACCCCTGCCCCCTACCATGGCCTCCGCGTCCTCGGCCTCTAGTGGCCCCAGCTGGTGGTACTAGTGGTCGTCCATCCTGACCGGTAGCATGTGTCCTCACCATCTGTGAGAGAATAGAATAACAGGAGTTTAGTACTCGGATCAACAGATTCGCACGACAAGAATTCAAGAATATGAAGTTTTCCTAAAGGTTCTACAGCCTCCCGAGGATAAATACAGACGTCTCTGTACCGATCCGCGAGACTCTACTAAACATGCTCATAACTTGTGAGACCTATGTTACCTAGGCTCTGATACCAACTTGTCACGATCATAAACGGACCAGTTTGTGATGGCACCTATCGTGAAACTAGGTCAGCCGACACAAACCCCCAATACCAACCAAGCAAGTATAATAAGTCATTTAAAAACATTAATAAGCTAAAATCTCATAGAATAAAGTAGGATAAAAAAGTGCGGAAACCAAAACACAGCCCGACATCGGAGTGTCACCAGTCATGAGCATCTACAACTCGTCTAGGAATATCAAAAGACAACATAGTCTGATACAAAGCTAGTACAAAGCGAAATAAATATAGGAAGGAGAATCACTGGGCTGCGAACACCAAGCAGCTGCCTAGTCAACTCCGAAAAAGCCTGTTGGAAGACAATCAGCACTCGCTAGCGTGACCCGAGGCTCCTGGATCTGCACACAGGGTGCAGGGAGTAATGTGAGTACGCCAACTCAGTAAGTAATAAAAGTAAAGGCAGCTGAGCAGTAAGAAAACACGTAAACCACAGCATAATGCAACAACAAAACAGTATAAATCCAGAACAATGCAGTAAAGCAGTAAAACTCGTAAAAACGTCTCAGTTTAGTAAAAAGCCTTTTTAAAACATCTTTCAGTAGTTCAAACGAGTGATAAAAACAGTGAGAAAAGGATAGTAACATAAATCAACCCCTTGGACAAAAACAAGTACCATAACAGCCCCTCGGGCAAAATATCAACAGAACCAGCCCCTCGGGCTACCTCACAATCACTTGTATCAGCCCCTCGGGCAATAACATGAAATAACAATAGCCCCTCGGGCAATAACATGAAATAACAATAGCCCCTCGGGCAATATCACATCTCAAACTGGGTGCCCGCGCTCACTGGGGATGTGTAGACTCCGGAGGGGCTCCTACCACCCAAGCGCTATAACAAGCCACCTCATGGCGTAACAAATCAGGCCCTCGGCCTCATAATCATGACTCAGTACAACATTGATGTGGCGCGTAGCCCGATCCCATAATATCCTCACAACACAGGTCATCGGCCTTACTCAGTCAGAAATCTCTCAAGCCACTCGGGCAACATTAAAACATGATGCCCAGCCCAAAATATCATTTAAAATATCAAAACGGAGTAAATATGGCTGAGTTATGAAAACCATAAAATATAGCATGACTGAGTACAAATATGAAGTCAAAACAGTGAGGAATAGTAGTAAAATTCCCTCTAAGGGTCCAAAACAGTTGGCACGAGGCCCAAATATGGCATTCAGTCCAAAACAGGATAATACTTTCCAAAACACGATGATATCAAACAGTTTTCAATCAAATACGCGATTTAACAGTCATACGAGACGGACTAAGTCACAATCCCCAACGATGCACGAACCCACGCTCGTCATCTAACGTGTGCGTCACCTCAAAATAGCACAATGATGTGAAATCTGGGGTTTCATACTCTCAAAACAGCATTTACAGTCATTACTTACCTCTATCCGGTCCAAACTCTAGCCCGTGATGCCTTTGCCTCTTGACTCGGCCTCCGGATGCTCCAAATCTAACAAAAAACAGATTTATACCATCAAAATATGCTAAGGGAACAAAGCCCACTCGAAAATAATCAATTTACATCAAAAATCCTGAAATTGGCCAAACCCGACCCCTGGGCCCACGACTTGAATTCCAATAAAAATCACAAAACTAAAATCCTTACACTCCCACGAGTTTATACATATCAAATACATCAAAATCCGACCACAAACGACCCCTCAAATCCTCAAATCAAAGTCTCAAATTCCAAGCACTAACTCTCCAATTTTAGACTTTAAATTCCACAAATTTCATGTTTAATTATGTAGAAATCACAATAGGATCGAGTATTAAGTCCATAAATCTTACATCCAAGTGTTTTCCTTTGATTCCCTCTTCAATCCTTCTCAAAAACCTCCAAAAAGCTCCAAAATCGCTCAAAAATGGTGAAAGTTAGACCCAAAATCGTGGACATTGGCTATTTAAACATTCTACCCACGTGACCCTTTCCTTCTTCGCGAACGCGGTCAACGTCTCGCGTTCGCGAAGCACAAAATCCGTTGACCACTTAATCTTTCATCGCAAAGCGACATCTTGAACGCGAAGCTTCAGCTCCTCAACCCATCGCGAACGCGACCCCTAGCTCACGAACGCGAAGCACAAATGAACCTGGACCCCAGCTACTCCCATTTACTCTACGCGAACGCGGGAAACTCATCGCGTTCGCGATGAACACTGAACCTAACCCTTCACAAACGCGGGACCCACATCGCGAATGCGAAGGCTAAACTTCCTACCTCACACCACATCCCTTCGTGAACGCGAAGGCCAAATGTCTGCAACACCAACAACAGATTTTCTGCAACTTCCCGCAACAAGATTTGATCCGTTCAACCACCTGAAACTCACCCGAGGCCCTCGGGACCTCAACCAAACATGCCAACATATCCCATAACATCATTCAAACTTGTTCCAACCTTCGGACCACCCAAAACAATATCAAAACACGAAATCATCATCAGATTCAAGCTTAAGAATTCCAAAACCTTTCAAATTCCGCTTTCGATCAAAAAGTCTATCAAACCTCGTCCGAATGACCTGAAATTTTGCACACACGTCACAAATGACACAATGAACCTACTCCAACTTCCGGAATTCCATTCTGACCCCTATATCAAAATCTCCCCTATCAACCGGAAAACGCCAAAATTCCAATTTCGCCAATTCAAGCCTAAATCTACTCCGGACCTCCAAAACACATTCCAATCACGCTCCTAAGTCCCAAATCACCTCCCGAAGCTATCCAAAGCATTGGAATTCACATCCGATCCCTTTTCACATAATTCAACATCCCGTTGACTTTTCCAACCTAAGCTTACTCAAAAGAGACTAAGTGTCTCGTTCCTTTCCAAAACCTCTCTGAATCCGAACCAACCAGCCCGATATCACATAATACAAATGAACAAGACAATAAGAAGCAGAAATGGGTGAAACGCAGCGATAACTCATGAAACGACCGGCGGGGTCATTACATTTATTCTTGTTATACTTCACCTACTGTGGTGATAATGTTCCTCCTTGTGTGTGATAAAGGCGTATTCACCATTTGGTCATATAAAAGCGTGCGTGAATAGTATCCTTATCAAGTTAGTAATTATCGTTGTAAATTCTAAAATTTCTTTCAACTTTTCGTATTAGTTAAAATAGGTCCATCTACACTTTCTGTTGGCAATATTTCAAAAGATATTTGACAGATGACGTCATGCATGGAGGCGATGGACAATTGTCTAAGTTGTAACCTTTTTCGTTTTTCTTTGGTTTTGGAATCCACAAAATAGAAGGTGAAGGAGATCACCATTAGCATAATTATAAAATATATAAAAAGGACAATTATGCCTTAATCCTGAACAAGTTCAGACCGTTCATAATTCTATATGAATCCTCCCTATGCTTACCTATGGGCTATGCATGTAGTGCATTTAAGCTCATCTCAAGCCGATGATACACGAAATAAATAAAAATGAATAAAATATAATCCCAAAACAAAAAATCTAAAGCACATCTTAGACCAATATTATAAAAAGGATAATGCCTAAAGAGAAAATCTAATATATGTGTTGAAATAGTTTAACACATTGTTGTACGTCGAATAGGGGTGTTCAAAACCGATCCGAAACCGAAAACCGAACCGAACCAAAGCTTAATGGCTTACTGGTAACGGCTTAACGGATGGGGAACAGATTGAATTTTTTTTATTAATGGCTTATCGGTTTGGGAGCGGATTATNTTTTATTTATATATATTAAATATAAAAAAACTAAAACCCTTGAACTTGAATAACAAAAACAAACCCGTCTCTCTCAGTGCTATCTTTGCAAATAGTTAGTGTTTTGATTGATCAGGGGTTCTAAGGGCTGCTATGATATGAGATGAAGCTATACTTACTAATTTACTATGCTGGATTTGTTTCCCTTTTTCTCTTCTAGTGGTAATGAACCTTTTATGCTGGATAAACATTTGAATTTGAGATTTGAATGACTTTAGTAATCAGTACGGCAGTACCTAGTTCTAGTTGGTTTTACTTTTGTAATGAAAGGCCAACTGCTACTTAGCTTTCTTTTGTCTTGTTCCGCTTTTGAAGGTGTTTCATCGACATTAACAAATGTTAAAGGAGAATAAGAAACAGTGTTCTCAATTGCTTTTATGGTGTTAAACTTACCTCTGCATTGCTTCCGATTCATGCTCTATAATCAGTTCAGTTATTTCATGTCCAACAGGGAAAACACAATTTAGTGAATATGTTAGGCCGATAAACCGCCCGATAAGAGCTAAATCGATACCAATCCGCCCGATATCTTATCGGGTGGCTAACGGATTAATACATTTAAAAGCCGATAACCGTTAAGAATAAATAACCGTCAATCCGCCCGATAAGCAGCCCTAACGCCGAACGGATTGTGTCCCTGGCGTGGGTATTTTTATGAGTCCTCGGAATGGGATGATGCCAGAAAGGATTTCAAAAACAATCCTAGCTAATATTTCGATTTCAAACATAACATTGTTAAGAAATCAATCTATATTCTCATAGAATATATACATGTTTTGGGACGTAAGGATCCGAACCTCCGAATAGCGGGACCCAGCTAGATATGTTTGCAAGGGAGATACTTGTCTTTTTAACATAGCTACATTTCTTTTTGGGAGGTGGTTGAGGCTCCCTATTTTTGTTCAATTCTCAAGTCCCTAAACTTATGAATCTTGTTTCTGTATGGTGAAAAGGCCCTTTTAACTAGTGGTAGAGTAATGCCATGGTAAGGCATAAGTCATCGGTTCAAGTTTGATAAGGGGCTTGTAAAACTCCAATCTAGTATTCATCATTTAGGGAGAATTGTAGTATTTTTTATTTGCAATATAAAAAAAACTAAGTGGATGCATAAGGATATAGGATTCAGCAAATGGCAATACATGCAACTCCACTGTGGTGAAATGAATCAAATTGAGTTGACCATGCTGAACAAGAATCTTAAATACTGAAATTTTCAAATTTTCAGGAAGACATCATCTCTTTGTTATCTGAATGCTGATCCTTACAAACTCTAGCTGAGATTCTTTTACCCTCTGTATTCCAATAGCATCAGATGGGTAAAGAATGATGAGTTGAATAACCATTAGGATTTAAGTTGTGAAACATATTCTGGTTTGAACTTGGAAAGAGAAGTGATTTTTAACTTACACTTGAAACATCAATCCAATGATTAAGAGTATCGAGAGCCTTTCCTGATTGATGTGCGATACGGGCCACTGCTACTCCTTCAGCTAAGTTACCAACTCGTCGACTGACCAATAATGCTGCTGCGGCATTGAGTATCTGCATATACATTTACACACAGAGGTTGGCATAGTGTAAATAATGATCTCTAAACATGATTCAAGAATGGAGAATAAAACATTTTTCTCATATTTATCCTTGGATATAGGACATAAGAAATATGGAAGTAAGAATGGTCAAAGCAGAACTTGGACTTTTGAGGCTTGATGTGGTCGGTGCACAATACCAAAAGAGTTTTAATTTTGTATACTGGCATTGTTTCGAGTTTCTACATCTAGCGTTACGACCTTTATCACAATGATGCTGTCCATAGAACAAGTTAGTTCATGGATTGGATTTCACTTGACTCTCTATGGTTCCATTGTGTGTGCTCGGGGTAGAAGTTTTGTATAAATGTATCGTCATGCTATTAAGTATTTTTATTTAAGTTCTTTTCTTTCTAAGAGGCGGAATAGAATAACCTCCTGCCAAGAGGCCAAGGTTGCTTCAACACTCAGCCACTTGTTAAAAGGAAGTACAACTTGATTGTCTGGGGAATCAATGGGAAGGAAAAATAAGGTTAAGTTGACCCGTCTGATACGATAACCTGGAAAATGAATAACTGCTATATCCAGTTGAATTGCAATGATACCATAAAAATTCTTCACGGCGTCAATTTACGTAACTTAAATCCATACCAAAAAGAGATAACAGCTAATCATGGTAATTTCAAACAAGAAGCACCTGTACCATTAGAGGCATATGCTTGTAGTAATGGAGAGCATCTCGAAAGGATATGTCGTAATTCAGAGTAAACAAACATAAGAGTCTGTCCATTAACTTTGACGTCCTAAATTCAAGGCACTAACCATCGCTACGACTGTAAAGGATATTCTGCACTAAATCTTTGTTGGCTAGGATACAGCCAAAACTATGCAGGAGGCTGCTTAACAATTAAACAATCAATGAATATCATCTAGAGTACAGTACATCAACAGAATTTTTTTTCAGTAACTTCATCATAATCCAAGAAGTATATTCTTGTGCCATCTACCAGCCGATGATGAGTGATGACATATATCATAAGTCTTGACTAATGTTGCTACGTCCTAAGACTGCGCACCAGATATAGCATATGACAATAAGAGATATAATTCATAGTGACACAAATGACGACCAAGGAAAACAGACTTAGAGCATGAATCGATCCGAGAACAATGACTTACCAATGCATCTGCCATTGGCCCCGTTTCACCTGAAAGCACGCGCCTTAGTACCTCAGCATTATGCCGTGGCCCTCCTCCACGGAGGTCCCCTAATGTGCAGCGAGGTATACCAAAATCGACTGCATTAACATACGTGAATGTTTAGCTATTGAATTTGACACTGAGTAATCTAGAGTCAACATGCCACAACTGATGCAGATTGCTCGTGTACCTGTGAACCCTCATTTTCTTTTGCACTGCAATCAGTACTAACAGCACAAGCAATCAAACGGCCATGTGTGCAAAAGCCACAGAGAGTGCTACTTCAATGGATCATATCTTTGCATTAATCAAGTCTACTCCGACTAATTTTGGTGTGGATTGAAGTCTGGATGGTGTAATAAAGAAATGCACTATATCTAAGTTGCTCGGACACGGGTGCGGGTGTCCAACACGGGTGCGGATCTACAAGCCGGATTCTTCGAGATGTAAATTCTAAGATTTGGGGATACAGATCCTAGTACAGATACAGTTGCGGGGATCCGCAAAAAATAATTCAAGAAAATAAAAATATAAAAATAAATTATGAGAAATTTTGTGGAATACTTACGTATAGCTTGTAACGTGTGGATTTCTTTTTCATTCTCAAGTTGTAGATAAGTAAAGGATTGATTTCCTAGATAAGGTATGCTATTTTCTTCAAATTTATCCTAGTTTTGGTTCTGATTTCGGAATCAAATTGTATCTCGTCCCGAATTTTTTCGTCCATCTTGGTCAAAATACCCAAATTTTTTGACCAAATCCGGTAAGGATCCCATACCCACACCCATACTAGTGTCGTGTCGACACGGGTGCGGCACCTAAACTGTTGTGTGGGAACAACTTAGCTCTATATTATCTTGCATAACTTGTGGTAATGAATTACCATCTTGTTAAACAATGATTCTGCAAATTATGTTCGTTCTGAAACTTGAATTAGCAGGTGTGCACACAGTATACAGTCTCCGAACAAACAAAACAAATTAGTACGAAGAATTTGAGAATTTGCAACCAGATCTCTAGCAAACATTACTTTGAATAAGAACTGCACGAATAATTACACTAGAAGCCGAGAAGAAAGACTCTTACGTGGGTCAAAAGAGAATTTCTCTATCTTTTCAGGTGTAACATCAAGGACTACTCCAGGTCCTGTCCATTCCCATTGCGTGATTGATAAATCCAACTGAAAACTTATATATATAATACAACAGAGAAAATCTTACCAAGAGGACTCATTTCATCTAAACCTTCAGAATGGACAACTAACGCTCTCTTCATGCCATAACTTTGTAGTGCTTTGGCCATTTTGCTGACCTACAGAAAACAGACAATTTACTTAAACTTGAAAGGTTCAACCTTTAAGGTTTTTGCTACCGGAACCATCACACTTTTGACACCATAGGCTCCAGCATATAATATTTGTTGAAATTTCAGTGACTTCTCACATATATATTATTACCGTATAAAATCATACCACAGAAAGCATAAACACAGTCAGTCAGTTTTTTCTTTAGTTCAAGGACGAAAGCTTACAATATCTTCTTTGTAAACTCCAACAACAGCAAAAGGTACCCAAGCAGGGTTCAGAAGAGGACCTAGGATATTAAATATCGTCTTCACTCGAAGCTTCCTCCTCACAGGTGTGACAATCTTCATTGCTGGATGGTAGTATGGGGACATCATGAAACCTATCCCAACTTCTTCCACGCATTTCTTGACCCCCTATTTCCATAACCAGATATAACTATTAAGCCCTTGACAAAACCAAGTCAAACTTTTCTTTCTAATTAGGATAGCACATGAAACTATCATAAAGCTGCTCAGCTTGAAGTCCTCAAATATCCTTAAAACTCAAAAGTGTCACATAAACCAGGCAACACATACATAGTCTGAAAGCATAGTGGTAATGAATACCCACATTTAACGTGTACTACGTATTCAATAAAGTGAATCACCTTGCACTCGTAGGAATAAATTGTGTTCACATCAAACCAATTAATACATGACGTAAGTCGTGTATATAAACTTTTAACGGTTAAGTATTGTGTATTCTCACTTTAATTTGTAACTTGTAAGTTTAAATTGTTTGGTTGGTGTAAAGAGTAGGCGTGAAAAAGTATTTTCATGCACTCACGTCAGGCTTCAACTCAATGGTCACTCCAAGGGCTTCCAAAACATCAGCACTTCCACAAGCAGAAGAACTTGACCTATTTCCTTGCTGCATAATATAGAACAGCCTTAAGGGCTCATTACAAGTAAAATCCAAGATATAACTTTAACTCCCAAGTAAGGTTAGTCCAACCTTAGCAACTTTAGCACCACAAGCTGCAGCAAGGATAGCTGCTCCAGTTGAGATATTCACCGTGTTGGCGCCATCTCCTCCGGTTCCAACTATGTCAACCGCATCATTTAATCCTTCAACCTTTCTACAACATTTGATCATCGATCTTGCCAGTCCTACAACCTACATTTGTGCAAATTTACGCATCCAAAAGTTGAAAAGAAAATATACTCATAACGTTGAAAAGCCATACTTCTTGAAAGGTTTCGCCTTTGGCTCTTAAGAGAACAAGGAATGCGCTAATAAGAGCTTCACTGCCATCTTTTAGAAAGAAATCAAGCGACGCCTCAGCTTCTGCTTCATTCAAGTCCTTTCGATTCAACAAGCACTCAATCAACTGCAAAAGTAAAACCAAAAAACGTAGAAATGAACAATTTAATTGAGCATTCACCAACTCCTATGAAGCATTAAAAATTAGTACTGATGGAAAATCAAACAACTGTAAAATTTTGTTATCTTAATGTCTGTAACTTTACTGTTACAGTGGATAAAATGAAGTATTACAGTAATGGTGTTTTGCTAACCTCCTTAGATGATGAAATGGGAAGCTGCAGCGGAGGAGGAGGCAAATCAGTAGCTAGAGAATTCAATTTCCTCCTTGCTGAACTCTGAAAGCGAGGCCCATTAAACAGATACTTTTGAGTTTCGAAATGGGAAATTTGGCCCCTGCAGTGAGTGAATGTGATGGGAGTGAGTGCAAACACCGCCATTGCAACCACATTGTTTGTTTGGAAATGAGAGTCAGTTTATTAGGTGCCGACACTGGTCTAAGCCATAAATGCAGTTGGAGAAAAATATACTAATTCAATTCACTACCAACTACCGAAAAGGTAAAACTATTTACTGCTGCTAATGGTTGCTCAAAGGTTTGAATACCACTCTATACCGGTCCCGATAAATGAGTTTCCATCTTAACCTTTATATTATAGGTGTTCCAATACCACTCTATACTTGTTCAGACTAAATTTTTCTACGCCCTTTTAAGCCCTCTCCCAAGAATTATATACTGTGTTGCAAACACGCGCCCTCGTATGATGCCACGTAGTTAAATGAAGTATTAAACGATTATTAGTCTGTTAATTTAATTAATTAACTTAATCATATTTTACCTAATTATACACAATTAAATATTTACCAAAACCCTTTTCCCTTTTCCTTTCATTTCATTTCATTTCACCCCCTCCGTAAAAAAATTCCAATTTCAGATGGAAAAAACCTTAATCCAAATCCATCCTATCTAAAATCGAAGGGTCAAGATGAATGTTCCTTCGATTAAAACCTAGTTTGAAGCGCATTTCTTCATTGAATTTACGTTTTGACCAGTTGTTAGAGTTCTTCGAGTTGCAAGGAACTGAGTTCAGTCGCTGTTAGCAGTCGTCGATTCCACGATATTTTTTTTCTATTTGGACAGAAAAAGTACCTCGTAAAGGTTAGACTTTTTGTTTTTCTTCTTTATGTGGTTTCGATTTCTAGGATTTTTTGTTGCTGCTACTGTAAAAATACAGAAGTTTTTGTTGCATGTGCTTTAATTTGCTAGGCCCTAGTCTTATATTGTTTGTTATCTGCTTTGCATAGGTTTTGAAATGTCATTTGAACTCGTTACAGTAAGATTCTTCCATGGAGAAAAATCTCCATGGATAAGCTAAACTCATTTACGGAGGATGATTATATAGGTAAAATTAGTATCTCTGCACTTGATGTTGATGTAGATAGGTTCTCGTACTTGGAGTTTTTAGGTTATGTTAAAGAGTATGGCTACAATCATTCTTCTGCTCGTATTTGTAAGACCACCTAACTGTCTTGGTTTAGTAGAAATTAAAGTGGACATGGATATTATGGGCAGTTATCATGTGTTAAANAACCAACTGCCCCCCCCCCCAAACCTACTGCCCCTGCTGAATCTAAAGATGGCTTTAGCACTGAGGATAGTTCTAATTCAGATCATTTAGAGCTATTTGAAGAAGGAGAAGAGGATTATGGTAGTGATATACATTAGGAATATAGGTCCTTTAGGGAGGAAAGAAAAACTGAGCAAAGAAGAAAGAGAAAAGTTAGAGTTCCTGCAGCTAAGAGTGTTAAATTGGGTAAGAAAACGGTAGATGTGAGGTATGATGAGTATGCGGCTAAGACTGAGTCGAGGCAAAGGAATTCTTTGGAGGGTAAAATAGGAGGTGATGAACCATATTATCCTTCAGATGAAGCTGCCAACTTTGATGATGATGATGATGATGATGATGATGATGATGATGATGATGATGATGATGATGATGATGAGGATGAGGAGGATGATGATGATGAGGTTAATCAATGGAAACCCAAAACAAGAAGAAGAAGAAGAAGAAGAAGAAGAAGGGTAAAAAAAAGAGTGATATTTGATCCAAATTGTAAGACTATTGCATGGGAGCTTGGTCTTACATTTGAGAGTGTTGACAAGTTTAGAGAAGCTTTTACTAGTTTTGCAGTTTCAGAAAAAGTGATTGATGAAAAATATATTAATCAGCCAAATAGGGTGAGGTTTTAAACCAGGATGGCTGTCCATGGCATCTTTTTGCTAGTTATGACTTAAGGACTAAAGATTTTGTGGTGAAGAAGTACATTCCAATAACCACATGAGAACCTACAAACAAGAACAAGCTATGCAACAGCAAATACCTGGCTGAAAAATTCAAAGATAGAATAAGAGAGCAACCTAACATTAGAATTTTAAATTTTCAAGAACTTGTAAGAAAAGAATTAGGCTTGTATGTTGGGAGGTTGGTTTGTAGGAAAGCAAGTAACAAGGATTTGAATGAAATAATGGGTGACCATGTGCTGGAGTTTAGAAGAATTTTGGACTATAGAGATGAAATGGTTAGATCCAATCCCGGTAGTATATGTGTTGTCAAACTAAGTAAAAGACATTTGATGGTAGCAAGAAAATCTTTGTTGCCTTCTACATCTGTTTTGCTGCATTGAAGAAGGCTTTCAAGGCTGGGTATAGGCCTTGTATGGTTTGGATGGCTGCTTCTTAAAGGGATCGTTTGGTAGGATGCATTAGATAGTATGCATTGGCTTTGTGTAGTAATAATACATTGTTTGGTAGACATTTTGAACATATGCATTAGTTATGCAGGCATTAGTTATACATCATATTTGGTATTATCCTATGCATAACTAATGCATAGAAAACAATGGTATTAGCAATGCAATGGGTTTTAATGCATGCATTAGCTTAGTTAAAAACAAAATTGTCCTTCAAAATTTATGCTTGATTAAAATATGCTAGTTAGTATATTAATGCAAGTTCAAAATAATCCAAATAGTGAGAAATAAAATTATATCCCTAGTAAATAAATAAATACTTAGCATATTTCCTTTTTTATAAATAAATATTTTATTTTATTTTACAATATAGGTAGACAAATAAAATATTTTTTTTAAACTTTTTCATATAAAAACATTTCTCAACATATGTTTCTTTTAAAAAGTTAGAGTGTGGACTAGTTTTGAAGGCATTTTTGTAAACAAACAATTCTTTTAGAAATTGTGCAATACTTTAATACATCAAACCAAACAATGGATAAGAAATATGTCAGCATAACTAATACCAGCATAACTAATACTAGCATTACTAATACACCCTATTCAGCATTATTCTTGTGCACCCTACAAAACGAACCCAAAGGGTGTTTGTAATGGGCAGTTGCTTGTTGCTGTGTGTAAGGATGGCAACAACCAGATGCTGCCACTAGCTTGGGCAGTGGTAGAAGTTGAGAACAATTTTACTTGGACCTGGTTTATGAGGCTGTTGAGGGATGATCTTGAACTTGGAGATGGGACAAATTTCACATTTATAACAGACATGTTGAAGGTTAGTATCCTATATTATTTATCTTCTTTATAGTTCTATCTTTGTGTATATTATACTTCTGTTTTTTCATAAATCTTACTGATATTTACTTAATGTGCAGGGACTGACTCAAGCAATGAATAATGTGCTGCCAAACTATGAACATAAGATGTGTGCCAGACACATCCTAGTCAATTGATCCAAGAATTTGAGAGGCATTAAAAGAATAAATTGTTTCTGGAGATGTGCCAGAAGTACTTATTAGGCAGAGTTGAAAAAGAATCTTGACTTCATGAAAAGATTAGGTGGTAAAAGAATTATTGATGACTTGTTATAGTATAACAAAGAAAAGTGGTCTAAGGTATACTTCCAGTTCTTTAGCAATTGTGACAGTGCGAATAACAATATGGCAGAAAGTTTCAACTCATGGATATTAAAGCCAAGGTACAAGACAATTAAACAATGCTTGATGAAACACAAGTGAAAATGATGAAAAGAATTGGGAAATTGAGGGAATTTGCCAATAGCTGGATCTGCAATATCTCACCCATGGCATTGAAGGTTTTACAAGAAAATATTGCCAAGTCAATGAAGTATAATATTATATGGAATGGAGACACATAATATGAAGCGAAGGAAACTGAGTATTTGAAACACTTGTTTTTTTTTAGAAATCATGACATACAGCTGCAGAACTTGGATGCTAAAAGGCATACACAAGTGCTCATGTTATGGTTGCCCTTCATATCAATAAGCTGGAGCTAATTAATTATGTTGCTCACTGGTATACCAAAGAGACTTACATGAAAGTCTACAGTCATTTCATTTAGTCTGCCTTTGATATGTCAATGTGGCCAGACTCCCAAAATATGTCTATTATTCCACCACAAGACAGAAAGATGCCAGGGAGGTCCAACAAAGTTCGAAAAAAGGAGCAAACTGAAAAAAAAAAAATAGGTAAACTGACTAGGAGAGGACTGGAGATGATATGTAGAACATATAACGAAAGGGAACATAACAAAAGGGGGTGTCATAAGACCAAGAGTGCAACTTCCAATGCAGCATCAATTGGAGCACCAAGTGGCAGTTTTGTACCAAGTGCAACACCAAAAACTAGAAGAGAAAGGGATAAACCAAAAAGTTCCACTAATGTGGCAAGACCCTACAAAAGACCCAAAATAATTTTGAAATAGGGTGCTGCAAACAGAAAGTGGCTTCACTAGCCATAATGTAAGTTTTACCATATTTTATATAACGGCTAAGCTAAGTGGTACATTCTATTAACACTAACCAATTTTTATCTTTCTTTAACAGCCTGAAATGTTATATCTTTAGAAGAGGTCACTGGAGATATTGCACACACATCATCAACTGGAGTGAAGCAGAAAGGAAAAGCATCTATGACACAGAGACAACTCCAGCAGATGAGAGGAAAGAAGGTCATCCAGACAAGATCCAAGGCTGCACAGTTGAGTCAAGGAAGCTCCACAACGCATACCTGAATACTTTAGAAATGTCATGTGTACTTAGCAGATTGGTCTGAAACTTTTATATTGTATGGTTATGTAGCTTAGACTATATTTAAGTACTCTTTTTGTGTTGGCAGTCGTGACTGCTATGTTTGAAAACAATTACTACTGTTATCATGGTAACTAATGAATGAGCAGCAATGACTGCAATTGGGACAGATTTGTGTTTACTATGTTCTTTCAATATATAATTCTAGACTGCTTGTTGCCTGCAATTCTATTGATTCAAGATGCATAAACAGAAAAAAAAATGAGAATCAAACAAGCACCAACTTCATTCCATAAAGCAAAATTGTTTACAAAAGGTATTCACCAACATTAAATACAACTAATCCTACACTAACCATGTTCAACAATTACACCAAATGTATAAAACAAAGAGCCTATGGCAACTACATTCCATCATCCTTCAAATACAACACTTGAAACCTAGTACTAATGTCGATAATAACACAACATACATGATAAACCAAAGAACATTGATCGAGCAGTTTTGCTCCTCCATTTCTTCTCCCTTTCTTTCATCTTCTCACTCTATTTTTCAATTAATCTAGTTGAATGCTAATCTTATCAATCTCATGTCATCCTTCTTTGTTTCCATCAGATTGTCAAGTTTTCCAAAAGCTTCAACTTGGATCTCTCAAGTTTTCTGATCTCTTTCTTCAATGTAGGAATAACAAACTTTGATCTAGGGTCAATTTCATCATCCCTCCAACACCAAAAATCACATGCTTGAGCACCCTATCATAAACAAGCATAAAAATTATATTTCAGTGTTCAGTTGTTCAATTATTAACTTAGCAATCTTACTCAGTTCAACTTCCCCGTATTATGGACAAGCCTAATACCTTCTACTAGGATTCCTAGGGGTTCAAGAGGTTAATAGTGGCAGCAAATATCCATGATTACATTGCACCTCTTCAGTAGATACACGATTACAAAGCCTAGTCAATCTTTTCGAAGGTATTTGAAGGTTGTCCTTGTAGGTTTCAAACAAAAGAAACAAAAAATTGGGGGCCGAG